TGAAGTTATGAACATTTATGAAAGGAATTATTTAGTGTAAGACCTGACAATAAAAATAGAGGTTAAAACATGAGATTCGTAAATAGCCTCAGTACCAGGAAAATAATTTAATAATGAAATACAGTAATTTGTGAAATAGTTTTGGGTAGGTAAAATAAGTGATGGACACTCCTCTGTTTGAGTTTTTAAGACTGGGTCGGACAAAACAGAGAAAATACACTCTACAGATCAGTATGTATTTTCTATCTTTAACTTCTCCTGTTGTGTATTATCACTTAAAGAAACAAACAAGAGACAATCCTAACTGCAGGTTTCATGTCTAGGAGGCAGAGGAGTTGTTTTGTGAGCTGGGTTCTCACCATTCAGTGTCTGCATTCAGTGGCAGAACCCACATATCACACTACTCTTTATTTCTATTTGTGCTGGAGAAAACCTACATATGGAGATAATTGTAAACAACTACTCTCCTAGGAGAATGAGCAGCTGACTAAGCTATGTGTAGCACTATTACAGCCCTCCCTAAGGCACTCAATTGCATATCATGCAGAAAATGGTCATTTTACACCATTTTTTCAAATTAAATTTGAATTCACATGCTGCAGTGAATATATATTCATTCAATAACGTGAATACATATGCATTCACAATATAGTGAATATATATTCATTCAGTAATGAATAAAACCCAGCCTGTTTTATGCTGATGTATGAGAGAGAATATGAAGTTGTTTCAACATAACAATTAAGCTCCTGAACAAACTCTTTTTTTCCCATTTTCTACCCAATAGTTTTTATTTATCATGATTTTGATGTAGTGCCAAGTCATAGTATTTTTCATTTGAAATACTAACTGTATTTCCAGATTGAAGAGTATCATGAGCCTTCAGAAAGGCTCTGTCGTATAGATACAGATGTGTTACAGGATGTATTTACTTCTCCATCTGTGGATATTAATATAAACATGACTCAATCAAGGCATGAAACGAACTGAGGGATTTCATTAGGCTGTGTTGGTTCTGCAATGTTTAATCCTTAGCAGGTCATCTCCCATATTTTCTGCCCTTCTCTTGATCTAGCAGGCTATCTGCCACCAATCTCACTGGGAGTAGGATCTGTGCCTAGTTTTGAAAGTTCTACCTTGATAATTAGTTAAAATGATAAAAAGGTTCTGATTTACCCAAAAGTATACAAGTCTTCTCAGACGATCAGGGGTGCAGTATTTGCTTCAGTGACTTACAGGCTGACAATCAGGGCTCAGAGTTGTGCATGTTTTGTATTGCTAAAACCAGTGGTTCAAAACCAATGAGGCTTCAGAACACTGATAAATTGCTTTTTTTTGTTGCCAAGCTGTTGCCAGCTTACACTTTTGCCATAATTTTTTGTCTGCATTTCTGTATTTCTGTATTCTATTGCTGACCAACTAAAAAAAAAAAAAAAAAAAAAAAAAAAAAAAGAGACTATTCCTCAGTCTGACACAGATCTCAATCTCTATAACTGTCCCTAGCTTTTTTAAAAAACAAACAGGCAAACAAATGAACAAATGAACAGTTGCAAAGACACGTTAATACTTTTCAACACAGCAATTGCCCAAATTCCTTGGTTTATTCATCTGTAGGATTAAATATGATGTTCAGTGATTTACTATTTCACACATCAGTGTAATGGTAGAGGAGGAGGAGGCACACAGTTTCTGTGAGAGGGGGGAGGACAAGAGGACCTTGGCATGGGAAAGGGAAAATAGGGGCTGGGTGGTAGGATGTTAGACTCATGCTGCGGTGATGGGGCAAACTCATGGTGAAGAGGAAGCAGGCTAGGAGGAAAGTGTGAGGGTGTAAGATAACTGGTAGTAAGGAGGAGTGGTGGGGAGATGGGAGGCACCTTGCCTGTAGTCTGAAGGGTGGTGGGAAAGGAGCAGAGGGTCTGGGGAGCTGAGCACAGGGGTTTCAGCAGGGCTGCATTCAGGAGCTGAATCTGGGATGCAGTAAAGCCTTTAACTCATATATCTGATAGGCTTAGCTGTGGCCTCTGGATGCCCACTTGCTCTTCTAACGGTTCATAGGGTCCTAGGATAATTCAGATTGGAAGGGACCTCAGGAAGTCCCTAAGCCAACGTCCTGCTCACAGCAGGTTCAGCTTGGGAGCCACCAGGCAGAGAGGAGATGGTGGGGGGTAATGTGCTGGCCACCTAGCATATTGTCTTAAACTGCCTTTTCTGGAGGAGTCAATGTCTTAAGCAGCTAAATGCACCTGACTGTGAGCCGGAGCCCAGGGGAGTTAAGGAAGAGGGTCAGAGCAGCTTTGAGGGATGTACATCTCTCACTGGGCTCCGGGCATACACTTTGATGCCTACCATTTGCCTTGCCGGCCAGGGAAAGCTGCAAAGCCAGCAGAAGGCAAAATGAGAAAATGCCAGCCTACAGTCTTGAGGCTCACAGGCTCCCTTCATATCCTTTCCCCTTTGGCCCACTGTTTCTAGTGAGCCACTGCCTGTGTCAAGGCAATCTGCCCTTGGTTTCTTAGATTTAACCTGGTTCAAACCCACCCCACAAACTGAAGAACATAAAAGACTAAAAGTCAAACTTGTGGAGCTTAAAACCCAGAAAATTAACAAAATAAAATTAAAATATTGTGTCAGCCAGTGTGTAATAACAAGGTGCTCTCTTGGCTGTGCTGCAGTGGCTTGCTTAAACTTCAGCCCTGAAGGTAATAACCAGTGTTTGCCAGGCTTCTGATCAGTCATGTATGTTCTCTAGCATCTCATCAGGTCCATGTAACTGTTCCCTACTTCTTCACTTAGATTTACCCCATTTGCTTTTCTTCTTAAATGCATACGAAGTGTTGGTGGCTTATCCACAGGGACAGCTGTCTTTGTGTTCAGAGTCTCTCCTGTGTCTCACTCTCCCCACCTTGGTGTTGCACCTCCCCTCCTACTTCAGTTTTTCCTCCAATCCCAGATGGCCTAATATATGTTCTTAAAAACCTCTCCTATTTTTAGATTCCTCTACATATTACGAATCATAAAGAACATTAATTATACATACACTCTGTTAAGCTCATGATCCCTTGTGCATTACCAGCTGTCTCTGGAGAAAGAGCTTGCTGTATTTGAATGCATTATTAAAGCAGATGACAGGCTGAGTGACAAGTTTCATTATCTGGCTGTGTTCCAGTGCCTCCCTGTGCCCACTGCCAGCCTCAGATTGTGATCCCCCCAAGCTGCCATTTGTCGTCTCCAGAGAGGCAGGCAGCAGAATTTTAGGCATAACTCATCTCACGCCAAATTGGACGCCAACACTGGAATTGAACCCTAGATTGCATTTACTAGATCTCTGTTGAATGCAGAGAGCTCAGTCAATGGGGTACTCAAACAAAAAAATAAATTCACTGAGGCATCAGTTCACTAAGCAACAGGTCTTTGTGGTGACAGTGACTGCCTAGGTGAGTGGGCTGAGGTACGATTTGGGAGAGCTATGACAGCAGGGAGACAGAGCAGTAATTAATTCTTGCACTATCTTGGGTTGATGCTGCTTCTTTCCTGTCCTCTCTCTTTTCTAAACCTAGGTAGCTCTGTTATTACCAGTGTTGCTTGGATACCAGTGTCTTTTCTCCAGCAAACTTGTCACTGAAACATTGAATAAAGAAAATGGTGTCAGGCAGCTTAGTTTCAGTGAGGCATTTTCAGTTGAAGATTCTTTTATTGCACTTATTTGTTTGCATAGGTCTTCATCACTCTAGATACGGTTCGAATTTATGACTTCTGCTATATCTGATTTTCTACTGACTGGATAACACATGATGCTGAATTCTAGTTCTCTGTTTACCTCTTGGTATGAACCTCTCTAGATTTGTCTAGAGTACATCTACTAGCTAACCACAAATTAAATTTTCCGTCAGAACAACAGAGACAATGAGGCAAAGATGGCTGCAAAAAGGTTGAACTTTTATTTCAAGAATAAACCAAGAATGTCACGCTGTAGGCAGGAAGAGATCTCTTATAACAGCAATCCATGATTTAGGTTGAATGTGTTCCTTCACTGTCCGTCCTAGGCAGAGTCTTTCTTTGAGCTTTCTAAATGAATCTAACATTACCGATGCACCTCTCCCAAAGGCCTTTCCTCATCTCTTTTCCATAGGAACTATGCAGCCTCTTTTGCTTCTCCTTAGAGGTAGATACTCTAAGGTTGCATGATGGAATAGAGCTATCTCTCCCAGGAGGCAAACAGTCTCATCCGTCTTAAGACCAAACCCCTTCTTCCCTCTTTAACACATATCCACACTGAGCTGCTTACCAGAAATACTGACTTGATCACTACTGCTGCTCATCCACCCACTGCTGCCCATCCTGAAGAGACAGGGCTGGGAACAGGAGGACATTTCCAGGGCTCTCTTCCATTTTTCTCTTTCTGCATTACAAGTCACTCTAGAAGACCATGGGCAGTGCTCCTGTATGGTACATGTGTTGGTTCTTTCACCTGAATATTTGAAGACGTCACGACCACTCTCCTGGTTTATATTAAATGCTATGATTTTGCAGTGGCTTTCTTCCTCTCTACTGTACTGCTGCTACTTTACTTTTAAGTCTTTAATATATTAAAGTCTAAAGAAGTGCAGTTTTATCCCTCCATGAGGCAATTTGCTTTGAGCAAGTCCATACAGTGAGTTGGTAGCAAAATGGGGAATGAAACAGCAAGGCTGATTGGTGCCCAGCTTTCCTGACACTTCTACTTATGACTGAATCAGAGCAGTTTAAGCAGTGTCTGTGTAGGAGTCAGGAAGGGTATTGCATCTCTTCAACCACGTAAGAGCCTGCTGGATGAATTTAAAATCTTGCAAAGACTGAGGGTTGGTTGGTTGCCAGAATGGACTCCTGACTGGTTATATCATGGTATGGTGCAACAACAACAGCCATGAGATATATTTAAACTTGGCCTAGGGCAGCTTTTTGCTATAGCACTTGATATTCTAACGAATGTAAAAAATGTCTTCATATTTCTGTTCTAGGTAGTGCATTTATTTCTGTCTTATTCCTAAAGAAAACCATGAGGGCTGCTGATATATTGGGTAAGTAAGCATTTGCTAATACAGACATATGTGTCGCCATACGCTTAGCAAGCTGTAACTCTCACGCAGCCCCCCACCTTCACACTCCCACTTTCCCAAGCAAGTGATCCGAGGCAGGTACTTTCAAAATTGGGAAGAAGTGACAAAAAGAGAGAGAATCTTCAATGCATGTGGAAAAGACTGCATTCCCAAATCCTCTGCTCTTGTAACCATAATTCATGCGTTATGTGTCCTTATTGCTCATATTTATTTTCATTGTCTATTTTTGTCTCTGAGGTTGTATTTAGCATTATCTTTATGACTAAACCAAAATTTTAATAAAAACAATGAAGTTATTCAGTTATTCATTCAAATATAAGATTTTTTTCGTTATTGTATAGACATTGCACAAAAATTCAAGCTCAATTAAAAGTGACAACTTCTCTTTTGGTATTAATTTTATCACTTCAAAGAACAAATAGTCATGTTGTCAAGTGCTTTGTTAGGAAACATGGTCTTCACTATAAAAGCATGTCAACTTTTTGTCTGTGTCCAAAATTTTTTGCATATCAAAACTCCCAGCCTGAAAACAGTAATGGTGAGAATCAGGCATATTTCAGGGTTTGGGCTTTACACTGAGCCATCTCGGCTGGGACAGCGTACCTGATGTTGCTACAGGGCACCTGATATTTCTGTGGGGTTCCTAGCATCTAGGCTCGGTGGTCTATACTATAATGAGGACATCCCAGCTGTTCTCATGAATGTTTTGGAGAGATCTGTTCAGTATTGTTCCAGGAATACTAGATAATATTTATTTAGGTTTGGGATCCAAGTTTGCCAGCTCAGCTGCTACATTCAAAATCCCCCATTCCTTGACTGATCGTGTTTCCCTTATGGCCTTACGCATTGTATGTTGCTTTAACTAGTGTTCAGCACTGATTTATTTTATTTCTGTGAGTTCGACTTTGCAAGAAGGATTTAACAATGTTGCTACATTCCATAGGAATGAGCTGTATGATGGGAAATATGGTGATGTTTTTGTAAGCACATAAATATAGAACAGTTCTGCTTTTCCAAAGGAACTGTGTGTGATAGCAGTGCCAGCAAAGCCCTCCGGATGTGCTTTGTTTTGTATTCCTGAGTCTTGTATTCCACACCGATTTATAGTTTTGCCAAGAATTTTAAAGATTACTTGAAAAAAAAATCATTATCTAATACCTTCCTTAATCCAATACAGTTTATGAGCTCAGGATCAGCTCACTTCTATCTTGATACCTCGATGAACATCTGTGTTTGTCAGCTGGCTGTCCACAAGGCAGAAGTTCCAGATTTTAATTAAAAGAAAATAATGCAAGCTTGACCTTGAAAAGGGGCCCTGGTAACCTAATGTCTAAACAGTCTTTTACAAATCAACCTTTTATAAAACAGTTAATAGGTCTGCAAATACAACAGGGAGCAGCCAAAATGTTGGCTGCACGACAGCTTCACATAAGCATCGGATTGGAACGTATGTGTTGCACCTAATGTTTGCAGGGCAGATCAATACGTGATGCAGATCTCTGTGGCCACACTGACTTTGAGAGTTATGTTTATTTACACTGGTTAATGATCTAGCTGTCTGCCTCAGTAAGCAACTTGTCCTTTCACTTGTTTAGGATACATTTATGTGGCCTGCGTTGCACCTGTGAGAAATACAAAGGATTGATTCTCCTTTGTGTTGCACTTGGTATAAGAATTGAGAATATTTGAAAATGCATTGCTGAGTAGGAACCTTAATCCATGAGGCTTTACTGACAGCTTTTTTCATATTTCCAAAATCCTTTGAGTCTTTAATAAAAATTACACTAGGTAAGACCACAATTGCAAGGCAACACAATTACCTAAGCCCAGATCTGATCAAAAGGACTTAAATTTTCTTCTAGAAGCTATTTACAAATGATCTGGAGAGCAAGGATGACCATGACTACGAAATACTGTATTACCAAAAGAAAGTGTCCTTTTCTTTAAAGGAGGAACATTGACAGTAACCGGGACATACTTGTTGGTGACGTTCGCTCCAAATATACCCAAAGATCTCACAGCAAGAAGAGTACAGAATTACTTAGTGAGCTGGCCCTTTTTGGTATATTCGGTGAGTATCTGGTTCGTACTGCCCCCTAAACCAGAAAAGCTGGGATTGTTGGGCTTTTTGCAGCATTAAGAATTAGTGGCAGAAAAACTGCTCCTGAGGACAGGAGATTCATAGGGGAGAGAGCAAGTCTTGGGGTCATTACCTCAGTCCCCAAGATGAAAAAAAGCTGAACCAAAAGATGCCTTTCAAACTACGTGCCAGGGGAAGGTCACAGTTGTGCAGGATTAACAAGAATGGAAGGATTTGGGGGTTTGGTGCGTTTGAGGGAAAACCGAAGTATTGGTACTGCTTATATTTCCTGTATGTGTGTTCATGCCACACTGTCTGCATATACATCTAAGCTGCAGTGCTTTTCTGGAATGTGATGGACTTGTGCTTTTAAAAATCAACTTATGTGTGCTCTTGGTCCTGCTTTTTTCTTTCATATCACTCTGTTTTATCCTCATGCTATTCAGCCTGGCCGAAAGGAGCTTTGCATGGAATTGAGATGCAGAGAGGCGGCCTGTTTCACTGCCACTCAGGTTGATCTGAACCTGAGTTTGAATTCAAATACAAAAATACAATTTTAATTAAAGTATCTGTATACAAACTTCAAATACCATAGGTCTTCTTTGATGTATTTAATTAGCATCAATAAAAAGACCAGAGTGAGTAGGAGGAATTTCTCTCTCTCTTTTTCTCTGGAATGCTGAAAATTTGTTCCTCCAGCTGAATGTAAAAGATGCAATATAGGAGCTTCAGAAGCAGTCACTTTTTTCCCAGCAAAGTGACTCACTTGGGTTAGGCTATTAGTGCCCAGGCTTTTCTCAGTAGGAAGCTCAGTTAGAAAGCCACTGAGTAGACAGTTTAAGGACCTTAATCTTTTAGCCAACCTGCATGCTTTACATACATCTAACTATCCATGAGACTACTGATTAGGAAGAAAGTATATGATAGCACAAAAAAATGTTGAACCTCATGCTCAATTTTTTGGTGCATTTTAAAAGCTCCTGAAAGATGGTTATGTAGCTCAATGGAAGAAATTAATAATCACGCTGCATAAATCACAACATGCACTTTCATTCAGGCAGTAGAGAGGCTTTTGAAGGCAATGCCCAAGATTTTGGGGGTACTCAGGAAGGGTAGCTTCAGCCTCAGCAAGATCTTCAGCAAATCCATGTAATCAGCAGAGGGAGAGATACTTCTTTAGGATGGGGTTCAGAACAGGGGTCTCAGTGCTCACTGCAGGACCCTCTCTCTTTTCTGCTGAATATCACCCTCTACCATGCAGTTCCACCTATAGCTACTAAAACAGCCTGGCATTTTAATCACTGATTTCAAATTGCTGACTCACCCATTTGTGTAGAGGTGGTGGAGGGAGAAAACTCCCCGTTCACACCCAGTGGCAACAGAAATTTCTGTGCCATACGCTGTTCACATTTTCTTAAAACCAAGAGGTTGCTGGGAAAGGACTTTTCCGCATCTGAGGACTTTTTTGCCTTTGGTTCAGGAAAAGTCAATAAGACCACAGTTGAATGCCTAGGAAGACCATGCTGTATTCTTAGAAGACATTATGAGGAGTTGGTAGGTAAACCCTGGCCTTTCTTTCCCCTCTTCTCTCTTTTTCCTGCCTCAGCCAGCATCCAATTCTACATGTACAGCACGGGTTGCAGGGAAGGACAGAGCAAGTACATAGTAAATCTTGTTGACTTAGAAACATATCAAGCTTTATTTGTACCTTCTGCTCCCTGTATTCATCTGTTTTGAGCTTCCTCTGTCCAAAGAGGGAGGAGTGAAAGGCTCCACAAGAAACTCTGAGATACCAGCATGATTATCCTAATACGCTGCTGGAAGTTGAAGCAAACCCTGCTGTAAACACTCTCTTTGGGCAGGGATCTAGATCTTCATAATTACGTGTGAAATGCCCAGCACAGGTTGGCTGCCAAGATATAAAAAAGTACAGCAGCGGTTGCAGAATTTTCAGTATAAATATATAGCGAGGAGACAGTACAGCAGTATAATGCAGTCCAACATTCGTTCTAAAAGTAGCCATGAAGTGTGGTCTGCAGAGAAATACAAAGCCCCAGTGGTACAAAATGTTCTCTGTGGGTGATAAACCATCCCCATGTGGCACTCCTCTGGCATCAGAGGAGTTCTGCAGAAATCACCTCTAGTTCCCGCATGAGATATCTTTGAGTCAGCTTCTGAGATTTTGCATTAGCATAATCATGTCTGAGCAAGAATGACTATCCTAGCTTGTTTCTTTTTCTTTTGCTTATGTGCACTTTGAGTCACTACAGAAGACATCAATTATAGATGAAGCTCTCAGGTTTCCCTGAACAGAAGTGTAGCAAGTATTGGGTTGTTAATATTTAATGTCTGTAAAATCAGGTTCAAAACATTTCTGCTTTTCCTTCAAAGTGCCTAGAAGACCTTCCTCGTTCATTGGTCTGTACGTTGCTGTATATCCTGGAAAAACAGTTGAGACAGACAACATGGTATTTTGTTCTGGTGCCTTCTGGTAAAGCTTAGAAACATGGAAAACATCATGATTATAAAAAAAATATTGATGAGATATGGGCTTGAGAAGACTTCGGTAGAGATTAGTTATAATAGCAAAAATGATTGTAAACAGGTCATGTTCCTTCAATTCCTCTAAACAGAATATGTGAAGCTGATATAATGTATGCATTTCCCATTCCTGGACTTTGTATTTAACACTACCACAGCTATCAACTGTGAGAGTGAGCACTATTTTGGATAATTCTCAGGAGACAATCATAGGCAACAGCTGGGGCACCCCAGGAGGCTCCTTGTTGGTGTGAGGTCCTGTTAGGAGCCATGCACTCCTCTTGCAGGGTGACTCAATGTGATGGCCTCTCCCTTGTCTTGTGATTAAAGGCGACCTCTTGGTGGGTCACCAAACAGCAGAGAACCATTGAAGAATAGTTTGGCTCCTGGGCAGCACGAGGTGAGAACTAATTGCTTGAATTTCATGCTTAGTGTGTGAGACTTGACAGAGCTGAGTAAACTTAAATAACAGCCCTGAAAAGCAAACATCAGCTTTCTCCCCAGGTTCAGCCACAGGACTGCTATCTCTGGCCCTACACCATTGCTGCTTTTGGGGCTTCACCAGGAGACAGAAGCAGCCAAGCACACAGACCTGTGCACCCCTTCCAGAGCTGCCATCAGGGACATTTTTATGTCCTTTTGATGGTTTTGCTTGGCTGTTTCCTTTCAGAAGTAAATCTTCTTGGTGAGTTTGTTTGCTTTTAAAAAGGAGGAGATCACAGTGGAGGTTTATGGCAGCTTTAGCAAGAGAAGAGCTGACGACAGGATGACAACTGACAAAGGGCTGATGGACAGAGCCAGCAACGATGACCTGGTTCAGTTGAGGTCAGTGGTGCTCAGCACTACTTGCCACTCTGGGGGTCGGAGTGAGGTGGAAGAGGGAGTGGAATGCCAGGGCTGGTGTGATGGAGTGGTTTTAGCCAATAACTGTCCATGGGCTTGGTTTTGGATGATTGTTCTTGCGTGGTTTGAAATCTGAGTGGCAGGGCAGATGATGGGGCTTCCCTCCATTGGCATTGTGATTAAAGTTGTCTAGGGGATATAAAATGGGTCAATACCCAAGGTGTAGCTGGCTGCCTACAGTAGGGCTGGCCCATGGGTTTCAGCACATCCTGTGCCAACCAGTCCAAGGGTCTGCGAGAGGTGATGGGTACTCAGGTTTGCACTGGTGAGGGTAGCAGATCTCACAGTGCTGTGTTACTTGGTGCCATGGCCCCATCCCAGTCACACCAGCACATGCGCTAGCCCTGAACGGTCATGTCATGAAAGAGGATACCTAGGACATCTCTGCAACTTCTTTCTTAGCCTGGGTACCTTTCCATGTGGGGAATATTTGTTTAGCACAGCTTTCTTCTGTTCTGTTAGCAGTTGTTCACTGTCAAAATAGCAACTGAAGCTATTTGGAGGCTGTTGTAATTGCAGCCCGAAAACGCAATATTCCCCACTGGCCCCAAGATGTGTTTGCCAGTGGCACAAAGAGCAAAGTTGCTACCTTTACTTCTCCTCTCGAATTCCCACGAAAACCTGTTGCAGTTTTCCACAGGGAGGCCAAGATGAACTCACATGTCTGCAGATCTTAACACGACTTCTGCCTTTGTTCCTGATACACCTGGTGTTACACTGTTGAATAAAGCTGGGGAGGCTGGCCAAGTTACTGACTGTGAGACTGAAGCAAAAGCCACTCTTCTACCAGCTGATGGCCCAGCTTTCACCTCTGAGTGGAAGCCTGGTGGGGAGGGATGTAGCCCTAAGGGGAGATGAGACCAGCACCTTTATGATATTCAACACGTTACAAAAACAAACAAACAAGCCCCCCAAAAAACAAAAAAACCCTCGTTTACATTTTTTCTTTTTAATCTTGTGATAAATATTTGACATTTTTTAAAGAAATGTGGTAAAAAATCCAAATTTGTGGTTTTAGTACTCTGAAATGAAATTGTCTCTTGATTGTCTTTGGGAGCAAGGGATCAGCGTGAAGGTAAATAAAAAATTAATTAAAGTGTAATTATGTTCTGTTCATATTTTTGAACACTACTAAACTGAGGGAGGTGTGAGTGTGGCAGAGCATTTTAGTGATTGAATGTAGCTGATGGCTGCTTTCCTGGTGCAGTCCCCCTCCAAAATGAGAAATTGGCTATGTTACATTATATAACCACCGTTAGTAACTGTTCAGTCGCTTCTTTCAAAATTTCATCAGCGCAACACCCAGTTATTTTTGAGTGTAGTGCTGCCTTATGGTGGCTGATGGTTTAAGAGTGGAGCAGCATTATAAGACATAAAATAGTATGTTGGTGACAAATCCAATGAGATAGACATGAGGTTTTTCTATGGCTTGTTGGCAAAAAAATGACAATAACCAGGTTCAGTAATGATGACGATTCCATATTCTGTCTTATTTCACCCTTTTGATTACTTTCCAACATGCACAAACAAACTTCTCTTTCTTCATGCCGTCCGTAAGTCTTCTGAGCACCTCTCATGGCAGTGGTCCATCATCCCTGTTTTCTTACGTCTTCTGGGCTTCACAGAAGGTTTTTGGCTCTTGCACTTGCTGTTTCCTTTAGGCATAGAGGGGTATTTGGGCAATGTAGGTAGGAGGGAGAACACCCACACTTTTGAGATGGCAAAAGGCAAGAGTTACTAAGGGAATCTGCAAAGAGACACATTAACAGCAAGTCAATAAATTTAACTGTCTGTCACTTAGCTGTCAGAGGTTATTGAAGCAGCAAGTCTGGACTGTGCACAGTGTAGGTAAAGCTGCTTCAGCAGCTGCAGATGTCCTGCAGTGTGGTCTGCTAGTGTGTCATTGAGCTTTTCAAGGTCAGCTCCTGACAGGTACCTGTGATTTGAGAACCACCACATGAAATAAATTTTTTCCTCCTTACAGTGTATGGCAAAACTTTGAACAAAAGAACAGCGGTTTGGGGGTTATTTTTAGTGGGACTGGGGAGAAGGGCAAAGAGGGTAGCAAAAATAAGCTTGCATGTCATAAAGAGTGACACTAGGAATACCATAGCTAGAAGGAGAGACTGCTGTTCCTCCAGGTAAGTGTTTTATTCCACAGGAATTATAAACAGAGTTTCCGTAAGAATTATTACCAATAAACACGGGTATTTTGCTGTCACATTAAAAAGCTCTTCTCAATGCTACCAGAGACAAAATATAGCTAGAAGTGCAAAAAGAAAAATAAAGAAATAAGAAATCCTCATAGTTTCACTTTTGCTATAACAGGAAATATAACTGACAACAATTGTTTGATAGCTCAGTCAACTGGCAATAAGGTTCGTTTTTAGCAGAAGATGCTTAATAAAGTAATTCTCTTTGAAATGTTAGAGCAGAGAAAGTGAATGTGAGATCTCAAAAACTTTGAATGAAGTATTTATTGCATATCACATATGAAGTATACATATTACATATTACTTCACAACTCTAACTTTCTTCCCCTTAATTTTCAGATCTTAGAAATTCTAATATTCTGCATTCTCCTCTACTTTTACAAAAGAAAGACTGTGAAACACATCGTGGTTTTGTTAATGATGGTAGCACTACTGGGTAAGAACATAATATTCACTTTAATGTTCCTATCTGTTTCTTGTCACTCAGTCTCCCCAGCTAGTTTAGATTAGGTATATCTCAAAACAGTGTGCTGAAGGAGAATCATTGAAACATTTCATGTGATTCTTACTGTGGTCTCTTTTTGAAGTGAAAAGCTGATTATGAAACATAGTTTCTATGCTTATTGGTGGGACTATTTCTTTTTACAGATATCCTGAAATTAATATGCTGTGAGCAGTGGTATTCTGAAGCTTTAACACTTTAGTGTTAGGTCCTGGGAAAGCGGACTGTTGGAAACTTTTGTTTCGGAGAGCAGGCTAGCTGTGAAAATCAGTTCTTTAAAACAGAGCTGCTTAAGACCTTGTCTGCACTCTGTAAACAAATGCAGTGATATGCTGTGACTATACAGGAACTTTTCTTTGAATTATTTATGCCTGTTTGCATATGCAACATTTCATACTTTACCACCTTCCCAGGAGCATAACAAGAACTCAGTGGGCATGAAGTTTGCATTCTGATGAATGTTGCTACAATCCACACCCAGGGAAACAAGGGAGATCATTTTATCAGGCAGCTTTCAATAAAGTTAAACTTGAATCAGTTTTGAAGAATGTCAGGAGGCTGTCTCTAAAGCTCTCTAAAACTGCCTGCAGGCATATATTAAGAATTTGTCACCACCCTGTGTCTTCTCCCATCCTTGTCTTGTCACTTTTCCATGGTGGGACTGTTGTGGGTTGACCCTGGCCAGAATGCCAGGTGCCCACCAAAGCCACTCTATCACTCCCCCTCCTTAACTGGACAGGAGAGAGGAGAGGAAAAAAAAATAACAACAGGCTTGTGGGGTTGAGATAAGGACAGGGAGATCACTCAGCATTTACCGTCACGGGCAAAACAGACTTAACTGAAAGGAAATGTGATTTATTACCAATTAACTCAGAGAGGAGTAATGAGAAATAAACCCAAATCTTAAAACACCTTCCCCCCACCCCTCCCTCCTTTCCCGGGCATAACCTTGATCCCGATTTTCCTCCCTTCTCCCTGCAACGGCACAGGGGAAAAACAGGGAATGGGGGTT